TGCTGGTGGGGAGAAACAAAGGGATAGTCCCGCTGTACCTGGCTGCCTCTGGGTTGGGCTCATTGTGTTTCCAGTCTCCTGGGCTCTCACGGTGACTGTCTGTGGTGGGGTACGCTTGTTCTTCATAAGCTGGAGCGATCCTGGCCAGGGAGGAAAAAGCCTGTTAGCAGCTTCAGCACTTGTGTCGGAACCTGTCCAGTGTGGTGATAACATCAGGATTACATTGGTTTCTGAATTCACTAGCCAAGAAATGAGCATCTGTAATGCTTTTGAGCAGGGCAACAGGGGGAACACAAGATGTGTGAGGTGGCAGCGAAGCACGCCTGGGCCCCTGGCTGCGTACCTCTCCTGGCATGGGGCAGGTTCATTTGCACCCCGGGTCTCTGGAGCAGTGATGCTGCTTTCCCTAGGTAGAGAGCTGGACCTGCCAAGAGAGAAGACCATTAGAGCCTGCAGAAATGCCACTGCACGTAGAATTACTGTAGGATGTAGATGCAACCCCTGGTGAATCTCCTGCCTCAGGAGAAGTACGATATCCCCACATGGGAACCTGCCAGATAATCACAGAATCATTTAGGTTGGGAAAGGTCTTTAAGACCATCAAGTCCAACCATTAACCCAGCACTGCCATCCCACCACTAAACCATTCCCTAAGCACCCCATCTAGATGTCTAATCCAATGAAATGTGTTAAAAAAAAAAAAAAAAAAAAAAAAAAAGAAGGAAATGCAGATCTCTTAAAAAATAAGGCTGGAAGGAAAGAAAAAGAAAGCTCCTGATGAGCAATCAATTACCTGTTTACTCTTTCCAAACTTGGTATTTTGACTCTGGTCACTTAGTTACGACCATTACAGGTTATCCAGCACCTCTACGTTACAGTTCAGGTGCCAAGAGCATAAGCTGGCCTCATTTGGGTACCATCTCAGAAGCACATCCACTAGATAAACCCCGTGCAGAGCCACCCTGGATTTACACCTGCCTACATTAACTTAGGGACAAGTTTGTTTGCTTTTTCTACCTGGTTTTGTATGTTTGTGCACACCAACCCTTGTGGGAATTCTGACATCCTGCAGAAAATCTGAAGCTGGCTTGGATTCCTGAACCAAAACTGCATTTAATTAGACTCTAAGAAATGAATTCTCAGAATGCTTTCAGAGATCCCACCCCGAAACGTTAAGGCTGATGGAAGAGGAGGCAGCCTTTACACTTCACTTGCTACCAGTTGAGGGCTTCCCTTCACAAGCATTAATCTGATCCCTGCAAGTTTACTGAGGGGGCAAGCCAGAAGAAAACGATTGGTACAGTCACCCAAGTGAAAGCAAGACCAATTTATTTTTATTCCTTTGTAGCAAAGGTAAATACCTTAAATTCTTACTTCTGGCAAAACACCAACGTTCACTGAGCTACAGATCCCTGCTCAGGTTGGGATATTCTAAGTGCCTAAAGAAGACGTGTTTGTCCAGGAGCTCAGACTCAACATCGATGTACTGAAAAGAGCAGGAGACAACTCCCAAGTCCCTCAGTGGAGCGATGCTGCAGAAGCACCCCTGACTGCTCCCCTGGTTGCTTATTGGCATATGTCTCTGGAGGCAGTCTCTGCTTCCAAATTTAAGGTCTAGGCAGCAACTCCTGGGCAGTCCAGCTAGACAGTGTTTGATGCCTGCAGCTAATGAGGATGGTTTCTCACAGGCTTTCATGGTAAAAGGTTCACTCAGTAGAAGTAGCACTAGAATCGGGCACAAAAGGGGAGCCTGGGAGGAGGGAAAAGACACAAAAGGAATTAACCCTCATCCTACTGGAAAAGGCCGGGGGGTAATTCCTTACCTGGTCATGCTGGGTTCATGTTCAGCATGTTCCTTCGACCTGGGAGGCTCTGGGTGGACATCATGGTCAGGAGGTTCTCGTCCCTTCTCAGTATGGTTGGTTGAGTCTGAAAACCTAAAATAAAGATCTGTGCTTAAGGCACTGGAGAAAAAACATGCCGGGGTGGGTAGAAAACCAGTCCCTAGACAGGAGTCGGCAGGCAGAGAGCTGGAGATGCTGTTTGGCTAGAGCTATTCCAAAGCGCTCCGGGACCAGATCTGATGGGAATCACACCTACAAGTCCCATTCTAGCTTGCAGGATTGCAGCTAAAGGCCTTTCAGCCAAGATCGTTGCAGAAGGAAAACGTTAATCACAGGAGAAAGCACTCGTGTCAGAATTCCTTGGACTGACAGATGCTTCTACCACCTCAGGACACACTCATGCGTGATTTCACAGCATTCATAAACACTTGGACAGCACTTGCTGAGACCTCTGGGCAGCAGAAGCTACTGCCTGCCACCACAGTACTGAGGGAACCATGCTGATGCCGAAGGACCTGTGTCACATGCTGTCAGAGCAGACACTGTCTCTCGGACTTCACACCCTGTGTGAGTCTTATCCAGCTGGCTTTTCCCACCAGTACAGGTGGGATTGCCTGCTGCAATTACAGGGTCCTCACCCCTGGGTGCAAAGCACAGGAGCTGTTCTGTGGTCTCAGTTACGTTGGGAACAGAATAAGACATGAAGAAGTATGAAGTGAATAGATACCATGGGTGAGTCCTACTGACCACTTACCCTTCTTGGATCAGCTCTGGTTTGTAGTCAGCCAAGGCCCACGTGCTCTCATGCCCCCCTTCTCTAGGGGCGTTCCCCTCTTTGAAATCTTGGGAAGACCTGGCAAAGGAAAAGAAACCCCTCTCATGGCTGCCAGGCATGAACACCTGAAAGCTCAGTTCATAGAATCATAGAATCATAGAATGTTTTGGGTTGGAAGGGACCCCTAGAGGTCATCTAGTCCTACCCCCCTGCAGTGAGCAGGGACACCGCTAACAGGTTGCTCAGAGCCCTGTCCAACCTGGCCTTGAATGTTTCCAGGGATGGGGCCTCCACTACCTCTCTGGGCAACCTGTTCCAGTGTTTCACCACCCTCATTGTAAAGAATTTCTTCCTTATATCCAGTCTAAACCTACCCTGCTTCAGTTTAAAACCATTACCCCTTGTCCTGTCACAGCCGGCCCTACTAAAAAGATTTTCCCCATCTTTCCTATAGGCCCCCTTTAGGTACTGAAAAGCCGCAACCAGGTCTCCCCGCAGCCTTCTCCTCTCCAGGCTGAACAAGCCCAACTCCCTCAGCCTGTCCTCATAGGAGAGGTGCTCCAGCCCCCGGATCATTTTTGTGGCCCCAGTTCAATGTATACTGAGAAGAATGGAAGTCTCAAGGCACAAGGCAGCAGACATCTCTGCCCAGACTCATAAGCCCGGGACAGGGGGAGCTGAAGGGAGATCAGAGCCGACCTGTGCCACATCCCGCAAGGCTAGGAGCTGCTGGGATGGAACTGGGCAACGTTAAATGCGTTTGCTGTGTGGTTACTCTTCAGTGAACATGGGAGGAAATTTACTACTTCAATGGATGCTGGAGAGAGGAGCAGTTTAGAGCTGCTTAGACAAATGGCCCTTATTATGCTGCTGTTCTCATGCTTGGTATTTCCTGAGCCATCGGTATTTCCAAGGCTTTCAACAAGGAGAAAGAACTTCTTAGCAAACGAGGGGTTAGCGCCCCAGGTCCTTACATTGCTTCATTCCAGTAAGGCTTGCTGTACGCTGGGACCTCGGGACTCGCGTATCTGCTCTCCTGGGAGCTGCTTCTCTGCTCGTAGCCCAGGACAGGTCTGATGATCAAAGAAAGGCCCATTACAGCTTTAACCACTGGCACATGAATCGTTGCACGATTTGTCTCTACCATTCACTGTACCACCCCAGGATTTTTCTCTAGGGACCATATTTAGACTATAGTTGCATTTCAGTGTATTTCAGCCGCCTTTCAGCTCCCTTGCTGCCACTCCAGCATCACCGTGGCATTTCTCTGGATTATCAGCGAATGAGAAGGTATTGACTGAACCCCACCAAGCACACAAGCACCAGGAGAAGAAAAACAGCTGGGGTGCTTGGCTCCTATTAAAGAAGATGGAGGAGGGATACAACGCAAACCTCTTGGTTTATTTTGCAAGCTGTGCTTTAAACCTCAGCACAGTTGCCTTCATCCTTGGGAGAAACGCTGTGAAAAGAAGCCTCTTTCTGTACCTGCCCATTCAGATTCCCCCGAACCCTCAGTATTACTCATACGCCCACCAAATTTACCCCACTCTTACCCTTTAAAGGAGTATTCTGTGTCCTCTAGGTGCACAGGGGCTCTCTCAGTAGGAGGAGAAGGGATATCAGCCTGCAAGCTAGACCTGTCAAAAAAGGGAAGGAATCTACAGCTTAATAGCTTGCCAAAGGCTTCAGGGGGGACTTGTACGAAATAACAACACTGCACTTTATATGAGACCAGAAAACAGAAAGCAATTTTCTCAGAGAACTGTTCTTCCTTCATAAAAAAAACCATTTTCACTATCTCTAATCAAGAAGAATAGAGGCTGTTAGTGGAACTAACGCAGTTACTTGGCCTCAGTTGGCACACATCTTGGCTGGATACGTGACTTTTCTGGCCTGTCGCAGGATTGTGCACGTGGGACAAAGCACAGTATCACTTTGGGGAAGACGTTCCTACAGTACTAGCAGCAGCTCTGGGTCTTGGCTTTTACACCATCCCACTGGGAACCTTGTGATCCTCCTCACCTCAGCTGGCGGGTTTGAAGACATCGTTTTCCCACCTCAAGCCCGTTGATAAGCCAATACACGGAGTCAAGTCTTAAAATAATGGACTAAAGTAAGCGAATTCAGGGAGATAAGCGTGTTTGATGTCAACAGCAGCAATTCTGTCTGATTCTGTGCCTCTGACATTGTCAGGGGAGCAAGCACGCTCTAAAAAGCACGTGGAATGGAGGCACTTTGAGATCAATGCTAAAAGCAATGATAAAGCTGCTGTATCTTTTGGAGGTATTTTGGAGGTATTTAAAAGAAGGATAGATGAGGTGCTTAGGGACATGGTTTAGTGGTGGGATGGCAGGGTTAGGTTAAAGGTTGGACTCGATGATCTTAAAGGTCTTTTCCAACCAAAGTGATTCTATGATTCTATGTTCTACTCCCAGGCTGCTTCTGTAGAAAGAAGTTAATGTGTAACAGTGAACAGAAAGAACTCTGGTCCCACTGTTTAGCCACCTAGGATTTCCTGGCTCCCCTTGCTTTATGGCCCAACCTGGATTCTGCTTCCAACTATTCTGGATGAGTTACTTATTCTCTCCCCACCAGTCTGCCCTCTGCAAGCAGCACTGTGAGTACCAGCACCAGGTCCTGACCTTGCAGGTTCAGACTTCGCCTCATCCAAGCAGCAAGAGGTCTCGTACTGATGGTGCAGCATGTCTGTAGGATCTGCAGGTCTGTCCCTGCAAACGGAGTTGGACCTGGTAAAAGAGGGAATTTTGTGGGTCACGGAAGGAAGCTTGGCAAGTTGGAGAACAGAGCAAGAAGCAAAAATACCAAACATGAGATTTTCCCGCCTCAAACGTAACATCTTTTCCTCTTTCCTGCTTAGCTCGGAAAATTTCCTGCAGCAGACCCGAAGGCCAGAGACACAAATCCAAGCAACTCACACACTGGTGCAACGAAAGAGGCTGAAAGATCTCGGTCCACCTTGAGCCGATCGATCAGGTCCAACCCCCCCCTTTGCAAGTGCATGCAGGTGTTGCTTCCCAGAACATATTTGTTGGGGCAGTACGAGGTCAGGAGAAGACTCCTCTCACTCAAAAATCAAAAAGTAAAAGTGACTTTTACACTGGTAATTGCTTTATACTTACTTTGGTGGGTAATATCCATTGTTGGCTTCTGTGTGCTCAGGATAACTGAAACGGAGAGACACCAACTTCAGAAAGCATCTTTGGTTTGGTTAATGTTCTACAATCACTTTCTTATTCATTTAATAAAAGAGAGAGGAGGAAATCCCTAAAACTTCCCAGAGATGTTCCTCAGTATATTTCTACAGGAAAAATGGCAAGAAGCTTTGGGGAAATTCAGCGTGTACGAAGCACAAAGGAGCATTTAGCAACTCTCATCAACATATGACAGATGCCAGTGGTATGGAGTCATCTGGAAATTCATGCCAGGACTCTTCCAAAAGCAGTGGGATGTCCTACAGCCCACAGCTGCAACACAGGCACCTCCATCTGCACGCACAGAAGGGAAGGAACGGCCCTGACATCCTCTGGCTTGTCTCGGGGGAGCTGACAAAACGGGGAACTTCAGGTGTATGAAAAATCGTACGTTCCTGTTTTCTTGTCTCCAGGCTGCGGGCAGCCAACAGCCCACGAGCCAACAGCTCCAACTGAACTTCTCCTCTTCTGCAGACCACAGGGGCAAAGCCTTTCCTCCCTCACTTCCACTTTCTCAGGCAGGACAGAAGCACAGCCACTGCTCTTTGCAGTTTGCAACTTTGTGAATCTCTACATTTTTTTTTCCCGGCGAGGGTGCAGACTCCCTAGAAAAGCTGTGAAACGGGCTGCCACAGAGACCACCACACGCCTCCGTAGAACAGGCAGGAACAGGGCTGGTTTAGTCACCCTCAGCAGGTCGCTGAGAAGTATCCTCAGACTCACAGAGGTTTCTGGATCAAATTAAATGGGTGTTCTCCAGAGAGCGAGGTGTGCCCCCAGCGAGGTGCGCTGACAGGGGGGAAGAGCAGCATGGTGCGGAGCCCAGGCTAAGGAGACCCCCTGGCTACCAGCTTGGTTGTGTGCCAGAAAGGCTGGTGCCCACGGGAGGGGCAAGATCCTGGCAAGGACAGGTCCTGGGGGGCGGGGGGCAGGCGATTCCCATACACATAGAGGGTGAGCTGAGCGGCGACGGTGGATTTCGTTTGGGCATTTGGAGACAACAACCAGCTCAGCTACACCGTGCTGCCTGTGGTTATGGGATCCTTAACTACTTTCCACAATACCTTAGAGTCAGGACATAACTTTTCCTTGACACTGAACCTTCTGGGTTGCCAGACAGTTTACAGGATGTGCAATTTCCTTTTGTATTTGGGGGTTTGTTTTGGGGGTTTTTTTTTGGGGTGGGGGTGGGGTGGGGTCTCTTGTTGCAAAAGTAAATAGGTAGGTGGAGGCTGGACACCTAGAGAGACCCTCTCTATACCGTAAAAGAAAAAAATAAATTATATTCCAGAATTGGTTTACATTTGGGAATAAACCCAGAAAAATGCAGAAATAACCCACAAAAGTGATTAGTTTTTGTATCATAGAAAGAAAAAACCTGGAACAAAATATCAAACAATTTTACCGAAGAGGATAGTGTTTTCTTTTTTTCCCCCCTTTTCAATTAAAATTTTAGAGAAACTGCTGCAGTTCTGCAAAGCACAGATAGAAATGTGTTTTCCCATCAGTAAATACCCACTCAGAGTTTCCAGGTGGCTCAAGAGCAGGAGTTTAGGATTTGCACAATGCTCAGATGTCAATAAAGGAATTTCACACTAACTCTACCTTCCATTCGTGGAAACCACGGTTGCTCTGGGGGCCGGTTCGTCCCAGGGGAGCAGCTCAGACTTTTCCTTCAGAGGTTTGTCGCTAGAAAAAGGAAAATGCCAGTGACATATGACCTGCCATCATTTATATAGTATCATCCCAGAACAGTCTACCAACATTTAGTTAGGGGGAGCACAAAATGGGGCCAGCTCAATATATCAGGATAGGAAGGGCCAACCTTCAGAGTACAGCGGGCCTGACTGCTGTTCATGGGTCTTCTTCCTTCCCTGCCAATTATTCTCTCTCTCCAGTTTGAGGTGGCTTAAGTAATGAGGCATCCTCTAATTTCTCTGGGAGACTGACTCACAATTAGGAACAGCTATGTGACCCAAATGACCCCAAGCACAATGAGCGCGTTGTAATCAGGCTGTCCCTGCAATGGCATAAGGGTATATTTACAGGCCTCAGTTGAATGACCATGACAGTAGTCCAGCCTCTACCTTTTCTCAAGCATTCCAGACTTTGCTTCAGCCTGAGATATTGGTTAGGGAACATTTCTAGCTTTATCTTCACTGATGGAGGTGGCAAGTGCGTTGCAATTAACTGTATATGCTACAGAAACTCATTTGGTGACCCCAAGCCTTCTACAGCTGCTGAAGGGCAACAGAGGGAAAGGCAAGGCCGCGTGTACAGCTCTGCCTACTTCAGTCTAGACACAGCCAAAAATTCAGAGTGGTAACACTGAGAACGGAAAGAGCCCTGCTAATACGGGGTACGTTTTAAAAACCTGAAATGCCCCTGTGTACAGTTCAGAGGATAAAGACTGCTGGATATAAGTGTACGAGGAGGGGGTGATCGCTCTCAGGAGGGCCAGAAGCTTCCCTGCCCACAACTGCAAGTTCCCTGTCTCACCTGTGCAGCTACATGGTGCCAGAGCTCTGCCCCTTCATGTGCCTGGCACCTGTACCCATGCCTTTAGGCTTCCAATCAGTTCCTTCTCTCTTAGTTTTGCCTCCATACACCAGAGCTTTTTATACTTTCCCGTTGTTCAGCCACCCCTTCAGACTTCCTACAGGGTGCAGAGGACCAGAACCAACCTTAGCAGGAGCCACCAGCCACTGAGGCTCAACACAGCCCTTGTAGGTGGAAGGAGCTCCCCAGGGAACGGCAGCAAGAGGGCAATTGGAGTGGTAAAAAACCCAAATGCATGGAGTAGACTCTTTAGGGACTGAGCCAGAGAGGAGAATCCTTGAGGGAGGTGAAGGAGGAGCAGAGAAAGCTGACGAGTTGTGGCCGAGCCAGCAGATGATGCTCTTGGAGTGCAGCCCAGGAGCGTAACTGGAGAGATCCCATCTGTTTGAGACCACTAGCAGGTATATGCTATTTCTGAGCAAAAAGCAGGCTTACGCCTTATGTTCAGCAGCACAGATCAGCCTTTCTCAACTTCTTACCCGTTCTCATGCTGTGACACAGCTTCAGACGAGGATTTCCCATTAGGGTCTTGGCTGTTTTCACCATTTCTGCAAGCAAAACAGCAAGAACGATTAGGTAGGGAGATGAGGGGACACAATGAGAGGCACAGGAACTGTACGGCAAGGTGCTTGTGGGAAGTGTGCTACGTATGGTGCAGGGATTGGATTAAAATGAAACCCCGATCTGTTTAGGAGATAGAAAGGTCTGAAGTTTTTGGGCTCATATTCTCATCAGGAAGAACTGAGTAACGTTCAAGCCGTGGGAGGCCCACAGCTTCCATCTGGGTTTGTTTCCTCCCAGATTGCTAATACTCTTGTAAAGTGCTGCTTTCTTAAATTCGATGGCTAATGCTTTTGTAAAGTGCTGTTTTCTCAGGTTCCCTATGCTATAGTATGTATTGTTTCATGACTGCACTGTGTCCAGAACAATCCTGTGTATCTGGGAAAGCACCACCAAGCAGAGCGAAACTCCCCAGTGCAGCGTGCCCCTTGCTGTCCTCAGCGGAGCTTCAGGATGATGCCAGGCCAGCAGACCTACCTGATTCCAGCAGAAGTGGAGATTCTCGCTGGAGTTTCACTCGAGGATGTGGTTGTTTGGCTCTTACTGCCTGTTTTGGGGCTGCAAGAGAAGGCAAAGGAAAAAAGCTGTCAGTCCTGAGCAAACCAGCTCCCCACTCCTGCTGGCCAAAATTTTCCTGCATTGAACTGTTCCTTTCTGTGAATACATAAAATAGAAAACAAACACGGCTGTTCTCAATACATTTGCCTACAAAGTTGTCGTATCAGAAGCAATTCTTAAATCCGAAATGCTGATATTGGCAGGAACATTCACCTTCTTCCAATGACACACAAAGAATAAAAGTAACAGAACAAGGCCAGTAACTGAAGCGCTGTTTGCAGTGCTGGGGAAAACCATTTCAACACTTTTTATACTATAGTCATGAATTCAATCAATCAAAGTTGAAAGCAACTGAAAATTATTCCACTACACATATTTAGCAAGAAAGGGTTCAGCACGTTGGGTTTTTTCCATTCAGGTTTGGAGCACTTCTGTCAGCCCATTAACAGATCCTTGCAGGACACAACACGGATTTCAGACACAAAGAAAAGTCTCCCATGTACAAAGCTGACAAATTTGCTTCATTTCACCTCCCAGAGTAGTGCCCGCAGAATTCTCTGACCTACAGCTCCTTGTGGATGGATGCAGCTGCAAAAGGCATCCAAGACATCCTGGCGGTGCTATAAAACTGACCTGGAGGGAGATGCTGCTGTAGTCTTTGGCTCATTCCAGGAAGACCCAGCGGTTCTTCTTAGCCCGTTAGTACTGACAAAAAAAAAAAAAGAACACCAAGAAGTAACAAAGCATTGAAGACAGAAGATTTTTTAGGTGCCTTCTCCTGTGGGGGGACACATCCTGCTCTCTGCCCCACAGCTCTGACGCATGCTCCCTGGGCAGCGAGGCCAAACCCTGCTGTGCAAGGGCTCGCACACACAGTTGTCCCTATGCACCGCTGCACTGATGTGACCAGCATCTGCCTTTCTGCTGAAATACTCGGTCTTTAGAATCACAGAATGGTTTGGGTGGGAAGGGACCCCTAGAAGTCACCCAGCCCAACCCCCCTGCAGGAGCAGGGACACCGCTAACCACATCAGGTTGCTCA